AGCGCATACTATGGGGGCTATATTTGGGGTGGCGTGTTTTACAGCGCTTCGCCAACAGCGCCAACCCACTGAAGTCTAGATTGCGAGAGGGGGCGGGGGGAATTGGCTAATAGAAATACAATCCGGCACGTATCGCGCCACTCGGTCCGTCTCCTCCCCTCGTTTGCTTTTTCCCTCGCTGTCTCGTCCGTCTCCTGCCCCCCTCCCGCCCCATTGGTTGGTGGCTTGTGGTTTCGTTTGAGCGCCCGTTGTCGGCTGGCCTCTTCTTCCTTCTCGTGCCAGGAGGTCATGAACCTCTCAGCTCCCTGCAGCACCGCCGCATGCCAGGGTACTCCCCCCTCTACCNGAGCGCCCGTTGTCGGCTGGCCTCTTCTTCCTTCTCGTGCCAGGAGGTCATGAACTTCTCAGCTCCCTGCAGCACCGCCGCATGCCAGGGTACTTCCCCCTCTACCCTCGCGGCTTCCTTCCACTTTAACTTCGGTGACGTGTCTTTCGGTACCGGGATTCCGAGACAACATGGATCGGTTTTCGTAGATCCGTGGTCGGCCCCGAATGCCTTCAGGTCGTCGAGCACACACTTCGGCCAGTTCTGTTCCTGTCCCCCCCAAGGTCGCTTCTCCCCCCCTGCCAGTTCGCCGAACATCAGTCGTTTCGGGAGTCGCCCGTCCGGCTGCCTTGCCAATGCTCCCGCGAACAGTAGGGTTCGTTGTCGGATCGTGGCTTCAACGCTTGGGGAGTGCGAATGAAAGTTCCACCCACGAATATCGAACGATGAGACTGAAGCTTACGCTTCAGAACTTTGACTAGCGATCGTTTGGAGTTGTCAGCAATGTCGTGCACGTCGAGAGCCGGCGGTCCTGCTGGTTTGAAGGGGCAGGAAAGGTAAGTGTGACAGCACGCAAGCAGCGAGTATCTTGATTTGTTTATTCCAAAGTATTGCTTCGTATAGATGCAGTTTAGGCCAGAGTGTTCCGATTAGAGTCGGGGGTGATATTTTCGATTTTTAGACCCCCCCCGCACCTCCCCCTGGTGCTTGCCATCGGGATTGGGTTTTCGTCGCTTGGCAACGACGTTGTAAAACAAGCCGCTTCACTTCGTGAACTCGGCAACCAGGTTACCGTTTTTATTTTTTACCTCCGTTTTTTTTTGGCGGTAACCATAATGGTGGTCCAGTAGATCATGTTTTGGGCGGGGTGGAGAACCCTCACTCCGCGCAAGGGGGAT